GCCAAGCGCCCGTGCGCCATGTGCCCGGGGCCAGGCCAGCCCCGAGCACCTGGCGGGCGCATTGAAATGCCCCCACGGGCGCCATGGTGCCCGCGGGCACCGTGTTGGGGACCACGGTTCTATACCCTCCCTCCCTTTTTTTGCTCACATTAGACATGGAGATGGCAGTAACCTTGAGAAAGATGTATAAAGGAAGGAGTGTGGAGAGTTACTGTAGTGGGATGACAAATGAGGAAATGGATGGTGTACAGCAGATCACAGTAAGGGTCAGCATGAAGTTAGTGATGAATTGTGAAGGCTTCCAGCAATTCTGTTCTGACGTCACTACTACCTAGAAATAAAAAAATAGATTTACTTACTTTAAGTGTTCAGGTGAGGTTAGATCAACGTAGCAAGTGTCTGTATTTGTGGAGGAGAAGAAATAGTCTCCTCTGCATATTTTGGCTAAGCAGTAGTGGTATAAGTCAGCTGTCAATTGAAGTTCTATACCAGGAGTGGTGAATCTAAGGCCCAGGGGCTGGCTGTGGCCCCTTGCTTGCCTGGATCCAGCTCCTGAGGCTCGGGGTCCCCCTGGGCATTGGGGGCCTGTACTGGTGCTCCAGCCCTTGTGCTGTCCCCCCGTGGGGCTGAAGCACACAAAATCTCCTAGTCTGGGCCCCCACGGCTCTGGTGTGCAAAGGGAATGTGGGGAATGTCTTTCTCCTTCTCAGTCGGGGGCCACATAATTGAGGGATTTTTGTTGTTGTTGCTTCTCATTTGTGTGCAGACCTCGACTGATGTTTTTTTTTCTTGTGGGTCAGCAGCCCCCAACCCAAAAAAGGTTCCTCACCCCTGTTCTATACCATACCTTAATACAACTGAAATACTAGTTTCTAAAATGTCCAGAAATATCCTTAGTTCACATCTGTCTCATAGATTCCAGCCTCATACTGGGCGGAAAGCCCAATGATGGTGACCACTGAAAGATGAGACAATATGACAAAGAACCAAATCAACTGATACAGCTATACTGGAGATCACGTATGCAGTGAACGTAGACTTTCCTGAGTGCAGACTGGGTCTGACTATCAGCTGTTAGCCTGAAACAAAATTAAAACTTAAACATGAGACATTCAACATTTGGACTTGTCTGAAATCACCAACCATTATATTACTTCTGTCCAGAATAGGTTTGAATCATTGGCAAAAGTAAAGGAGAACAACCCCAACTAATGAGGGTTAAATGAGAATTCTGTGCTCAAAACCACCAGCACATATTCTGAAATGTCACTGTCCGACTGTTACATGGGTAACAGGGGTTTGAGTTAAGCATGAGGCTTACCGGTATGCTTACCAGTTAACTGGCCCTTGCCTATAAACTCTGGTGGTGGCCAGCCACACCGGGCCAGAGCAGCCCTGGCCACAGAGGGGCCAGCAGGCGGGGTGGTGGGATCTCACGGCTGTGGCAGATCAGGTAGCAGGTCTGACATTAAAAGGTTAACTGATTACGTGCTAGCATTAACATTTTAACATCCCTGTAAAGGGGAAAAACAGTGCAGAGTGAAAGGGAATAGCCTGGAGATAGGAGAATGTAGGAGAAAATATAAGGAACAGAACAGACACATTGAAAAGTAGACTAGATCAGACAAAGGCAAATATCTAAAGGCAAAATGTATGTAACTTGAGAATTATAAAGAGTAATAACACAAATAGTATGTTCACAGTGGTCAGGTTTCTTCCCAACCACTGTGGTCAAACATAATAGCAGCGCTTTTGCTGAAGGCAAGTGTAGAAAGTACTGTGCCCATATGTGTGTGTGCCTCACCTGATCACTTTGCACAAGTACAGATCACTAAACAAGCTGGAAGGCAATGGAAGAATCAGGCCTTCTCTTTACCTTAAGGAGTCTCCTCAGTTAAAAAACCCTCTAAGATGCGAAGTACATTAACAGGCCACTTTAATAAATGAGAAGAGGGAAATTTAAGTGGCTGCATAAAGCACTTTTCTTTTGTAAATGAAAATATTAAAGTTGACAGAAGAGAGGCCAGTGACTGAATTAATTAGATTATTTAACAATTCTCATGATCAAATTAGCCTCATTATGCAGAATGGATTTTACTTGTATAATATTCATTTCAATATAATTTAAGTGTAGTTTTTTCCAGCTCCTTTTTATTGTATTCTCTAAAACACAAAAATAAATTAGCAGGATGTTAGCCATTGCAGACAAGTGGCTATCACAATATTGAAAGCTCCCTTATTATTCCTTTTCTTGTTTAAGCTGCTGTAATTCTGCCTGTTTTGGTGAGCTGTTTGTCATCTCTACCCAACCATTATCTCTGCCAATCAAGCCATTTGTACTCAGTGCAATCCAATCTGATTTCTCATTACTTTAATTGCACATCTTGCTTGAATGTTGCATACCCAATCTGTTATCCAGTTGCATAGGGAGTTCTCCAAAGGCCTATCATATCTTACTTTATCTGATGTAATACACAGATTGCTTTCTAAAGTCTAAATCATTTTAAGAATCTGAATGCTTCTTACTTATCTCAATATTACTCCTGAGATTTATTTTGCACATATAATTTCTGTTGGATGTAAAACAGGCAGCCATTAAAATATAGGAATAGGCCCTAGTATGGCCCATGCTGGTTTTATCAAAAAGAGTGTGTCCTTCAGGGTGAATCAATTCTTACCCTGTATACAGGAGAAAGCATTTAAGAGTGTTAGTCAATCCACCACGTTATAGTCAATAAATTCCCTAGGGCAAGATTAGTAACGTCAAGTCAATGAGCAGACACATCTGTTGCATCCTAAGACCACGTCTAGACTAGAATCTAAAAGGTTGTAACTAGCAAGTGCCTTCTAGTGTAGATAAGGCATACTGCCTCTAACGTATGTTGAGCTGGTAGAGTTAAGGCCAGTCATGTTGGTTAGCCCCTGTTAGCTAACATTCTAACACAATTTGACATATTAAGCTATACAAAGTTTAAGGGAATAAGAATTGCAAAAACAGCCTACTGACTTAGTGTGGCCTAGTGGATAGAGCAACAGGCTGGAACTCAGGAAACCTGTATTGTATGTCCAGCTTTGCCACTAGCCTGTGAAAAGACCCTGGGTAAGTTATCTCACTGTGTGCCTCATTTTCTCTATCTGTAAGATGGGGATAATGCTACAGACCTTTATAAAGCACTTTGAGATCTACAGATGAAATGCACTTTGTAACAGCTATGTATCATTATTATTATTGGACATAAGGGCAAGTGTTGCTGTTGCCAGGATGGCATGATAAACAGGGGAGCAAGCTGTGAAGGTGCTTTTTAATCAGCTGCCCATCTGACAGTAGGGGGGGCACTGTCAATGGAACAAGCATAGTTAAAAGACTCAGCCTGACTTGCAAGCCCCAAATTAATTCCACAACAGAGAAAGGGACATCACAATCCCACATCTACCCACCTTCCAGATTCATGGTGCTCCAGTATTGAGGATGAGAGAGCTTCCAAGCAGTGTCCTGTTTGCAATACCATCCAGGAACAAAACCAAGTGTGTAAGGCCCATGAGATTTTTAAATACAATAGATCACTTTAGAGAGAGCGACCAAAAGGCTGGGGCTACATCTATACTGCAAGGTTTTTGTACAAAAAATGATCGTTTTTGCGCAAAAACCTGCAGACAATCCACACCTCAAATGTGCTTTTGTACAAATAAATCAGCAGTAAAACGGCAGAACAGAGGGCTTTTGCCGGTGTAGGTAAACCTCCTTCTACGAGACCTAACTCCCTTTTGCGCTACAGCTATTGCTCAAAAAGGCAAGTGTGGACGCCCCAGAGGGGTTTCTTGTGCAAGAAACTCCTATGGGAAAAAGCACAGGTGCTCTGATGGCCATTCTGTGAATGGTAATCAGAGCTTTCTTGTGCAAGAGCGTCCATGCAGTGTGGATGCTCTCCTGCACAAAAACACATCGCTTTTGCGATGTGCTTTGAGGTGTGGACGTGGTTTTGAGCAAGAAGTTTTTGCACAAGAACTTCTTGTGCAAAAACCTTGCAGTGTAGATGTAGTCTGGGTGATTAAGAGTATCTTTCTGAGGTTATTTTCTGTAACAGCCACAGCTTTAAGAAACCAGGTCCAAGGCTATCCTATTAGCTTCCTGAGTAAAGAATCTGACAGTCTTTTTCTGTGGGCATAAAATGCTGGGAAATGTTACATTTCCATCCGGCACAGACACATTTATATTACAACTTTGCCTACTGACTTACAGACGTGTTTCATATAATACTGCCATTCTGATTTGGCTCACAAGTTGAGAGAACAAATGATGACTTCTGCCTCAGATGCAAACTGATCAGAAACGGCTGCTCAGAATGGTCAGTGGCCCACAACAATCCTAACAAGGAAAATAAAAGATACCAGACTCCTTTTCTGCTGCGAGCACTGGAGAGAAGTGGGGAAGGAAGGAGTTTCTATTGCCCCTGGATGGGGCAGGTGGCAAGGGAAACTGGAATCCTTGTCACTGGAGGTTTTTAAAAAAAGATTGGACAAATTCCTGTCAGGATGATATACTTAATCTGTCTCCGCACAGAAGGAAGGACTCTTAAGGTCCTTGTCAGCCCTACATTTCTATGATTCTATTAAATTAAGCTGAACATTTTAGGTATATGGGGAATAGTTATTTCCTGTCCTGAGAGAGCTTTCAAGATACTGAAGAACTTTCAACTTTTCATTCTGATTCATCAAAAATCTCCGCTCACCCACCAAAAAATATCAGTTTGGATCAGTGCTATTTAAACAATGCTAAAGAAACTCAGATACCCAGGGTTTAAGTAATGACCAAAAATCATTCATTTCTCAGTGGGTTTTGTTTGTTTGTTTTAAGACCAAGGAGGCCTAGCAGATACAACATTGTACTGGGATTCAGGAAAACTGCCTTCTATCCTTGGCTCAGCCACCAGCCCGCTGGATGCCCTTGTGCCTCAGTTCCCCCAACTGTAAAATGGGAATAAAAACACAGACCTCCTTTATAAAGCACCTTTGAGATCATTTGAGGAAAAACTCTCCACAAGAGCATGGTGGTGTTATTCCTGGCCCACATTCATTTCATGTAGCATATGCTGCAGCTGTTGTAAATATTTCCACTGCAGTGTCCATAGACTATGAGTGTAAATGCAGGAGCTGGGGAACTCTTCAAGTATGATTTCATATCCTTATTCCATTGGAGATGCATGACTTACCCTCACCCATGTGGGCTAAGCACACTATTCAGCCTCCATACCCCGCAGATAATACCACCTACTTTACATGGGTGTTAAGATTAAAAATATGAATAAATGAATCCTCACATTGAGATCCTCCATTGGGAGGTAACAAAAGTTCTACTTAACAGTTTCCTAATTTATTCATATTCAGTGGGTTAGCATCACTCTTTGAGTTATACTAACATATAGGAAGTTAAATACTGTCTAAGTGTTACATGTTTCCTATTTCAACTGTAATATTTAAACTTTGTTATTTTTTGCATTGCACTGTTCATGTGATACAGGTACTACCTAGTAGTCCTGTTAGAAAGATACAGTTTCTGTATGATGATTATCCTACATAAACCTCTTTCCAATTTTGTAGGTACAGGCTGGTACCAGAGGTTCATTTTCCTGAACAATTCTATGATACTTTCCGTGCAACAAAGTATTTTCTGCAGTCTGACATCCTAGCTAAATACTCAGTTGATCCAGGTCGCATTGCAATTTCTGGTGATAGTGCAGGAGGAAATTTGGCTGCTGCCGTGTGCCAACAGGTAATATCCACTGCCTATCTTTCACACTAACAAGCCATATTCTAGCAGTACACACAGAAAGATTATTTGTGCTGCACAATCACAGTGACAGAGTAGCTTTAGATGTGATTTAGATACCAACCTTTACCCATTGTGCTATTGAATCTTTTATTTGCCTGCATAAGTGGCTAATGTGCCACATAAATGTATAATTCATAAATTCAGTTCCTATTTTGTGAATACACAATTTTTGCAGCTGCCAACCTTTGAAAAAACCTTATTTCTTTTCCCCACAAAGACAATTTCATAGTTAGAATCCATTTGTAGGAAAAAAATCTATTTTTCCCTGCTTTTCCTATTATATGTATTTCTAATTTAAATTAGTCTGAATTTGAGCTGGTTGGAATTTCTAAGGAGGCCTAGGGCCTTAATAAGAGGTAATTACCATTAATTAACCATTAATGAGGGCAGTTACCAAAGCAGATCAGTATTCCTGCCAGCTACTTCCACTCGTTGAGGTGGTTTTATTATGTCGACTTGAGTTGTCTCCCATAGAGCTGCATCGGTACAGTTGTGCCTCTGTAAGATTGCGGGTATAGACGTGGCCTTATTCTCACTTACACTAATGTGAATCCACTATGACTCCACTGAAATCCCTGGTGTAAAAGCAGTGCAGGTGAGAACAGAATCAGGTCTAGACTTTTAAGGTTCCAAATTAAGAGCAAAATTCTCTGCTGTAGAGTTACACTAGCAGAACATTTGTCCTTAAAACAACAAATGGTGGATTCTCTCCTCTTGCGGAGATGAATTGTAACTCCTTTCAGTGGAGATGATGATGGACGATCAGGCACAGCATGAGTAATGGCAGCTTTTTTACAATCTGGATTCTGTCCTATGTTTTTCCTACAGCTTAGTCTTGATGAGACGGTGACCAACAAACTGAAGCTGCAGGCTTTAATCTATCCAGTCCTTCAGGCACTGGATTTTAACACCCCTTCATACCAGCAGAACACTGACATGCCTGTTCTTCCTCGCTTTGTCATGGTGAAATTTTGGATAGACTATTTCAATGGAAACTACGACTTTGCGTCCTCAATGCTGATCAACAACCACACTTCTCTCGACGTAAGCCAAGCCATTTCTTTCAGGGGACGTCTGAATTGGACTTCTCTCCTGCCCTCAACATTCAAAAAGAATTATAAGCCTGTGATACAATCCACAGGGAAGGCCGAAATCATCCAGGAAATACCTGCCTTACTTGATGTACGCGCAGCACCATTGCTAGCAGAAAAAGAAATTTTCCAGCTTCAACCAAAGACCTACGTCCTGACTTGCGAGAATGATGTCCTGAGAGATGATGGAATAATGTATGCCAAACGGTTAGAGAGCGCAGGGGTGGAGGTCACGCTTGATCACTTTGATGACTGCTTTCATGGCTGCATGATCTTTACTATTTGGCCTACCAATTTTTCTTCAGGACATCGGACCAGGGACAGCTACATAAAGTGGCTTTCTGAAAACCTGTGAAGAGCGCAAGTCCTCTTTAGGAGGCACAGAGTGTTCAATCTAAAGCTCACAGCTTCAAAAACAACAAAAATGTGCACTTTTATGCTCTGTAAAATTTGTTCAAGATTATGTCATAGAGCTTCTGTTGCAAGAAGTAGCGTGGCGCTACTTGGTTAGTTGACTAGCCTTGTCCAGCATAGTAGTTTTCTAAATACATATTAAACACTACTGTAGACAGTGTTGCTGTAGCCATGTCAGTCCGAGGATAGTAGAGACACAAAGTGGGTGAGGTAATGTCTTTCATTGGGGCAGCCTTTGTTGGCAAGGGAGACAAGCTATTGACACATAGAGCTCTTCAGGTCTGGGAAAGGTACTCCCAGCATCACAGCTAAATGCAAAAAGTGGAACAGATTGCTAAGTATGTATGAAAAACACATATGCTAAAGGATCAGTCAAGGTAGAATGGTTCATTAACACCTATGCAGCCATAAGACAGAAAAAGAGAGGGGTAGTGGGTTGCAGATTCTTGTAATGTACCATAAATGCAGTGTCTCTTTTCAATCCATGATTTGTAACATCTAGCTGAACAATCAATTTACAGTTTTGTGATGTTTTGAGTACCTTTCCCAGACATGAAGAGCTGCACTGTGTGACTCAAAAACTTGTCTCACCAACAGAAGTTGCTCCACTAAAAGACATTCTCTCTCCTTGTTGTTGCTCCATTAAAAAACAAATCAGTTTTAGATTCCACAACCATGGTGAATGAATGAAGTTCTAATCATAAAAATAATTATTCCTCAAAATTATTCTTATTGGTCAACATTTTCAAGTTTCAGTGCATAATATTAGGTACCAAGACTACAATGTTCAGTTTAACAGTTTTCTATTTTTAGGCACTTAAATAAGGGTAGCCTGATTTTTAGAGGCACTGAGCATTTACAAATGCCACTTAAGTCAAGGGAAGCTGTGGTGATCATTAAGTATGAAAACCAGGCCACTTAAAAAGGTGCTTAAACATGGATTTAGATGCTGGTCTTTAGGCACACAGAATCATAGGTTTTTTAAATATTTTCAATGTCGAGGCATTTTACAGAATGCCTGGCAAGTCATTTATTCCAAAAATGTAACAACTTTGAAATCTGGTCCTTTTTTGAAAACAAGCACAGTACTAAAATATTGTTAAAAAGAACAAAGCATTCTTAAGTGAGATACTTTCTTTTGACTTTAACAGACTTTGATCCTACACACAGGCAAAGCAACCTGAAAGCTTATATTTAGGACCAAGGGAAGCTCCACCACACACACAGTAAATTCCATGTGTGAATTTACAGCTTTAAAGTTGATTACATTTTTGACAAAAGGATGTGACTGCCTGCCTTTGACATTTCAGCTTTATGATCACATTGGAGAAGATATGAAAAGACTGAAAAATAAAAATCCCTCTGTGTGGTTTGCACTGATGTTTGTATTTAACATTAACAGTTTTTTCTGCACTGAGTCTTTTTTGTTCTTGTAGTTTCCAGTTCATAGTCTTCCATATTTTATGGAGGAAGCTTCCCCTATGTAGCAAGCAAAATCACTAGACATGAGCTTGAATCTGAAGTCCAGATTCAAATGGAACTATGCAGCTGGATCATCCCTCACTCATGGATGGAGCCAAAATACCTAAGCTACTAGAGAATAAGGCTTTGCAACTTGAGCGCCTCCCTAAAGTAGGCAGACCACAACTGAAGTTTTAAGACAAGGACACGGAAACTGCTTACAAAAGTGTGTATTCGGCATAATGTTTGTGTTGTTGAACGTAAGCTGTGAAAGTGACAAAAGCCAGGAACTTCTAAGCTAAGACAGAAAGAACCTTGGGTTCCAAGCCTAGTGCTTTAACTTGAGATAGCAGAGTTCAGTTTTGAGCTCTCGGATGCTGTGTGTGACTTTGGGCAAATGGCTTCATCTTTGTGCCTCAGTTCATTCTTCAGTAAGAGAGGGAGGAATATTTCTGTACTTCACAAGGGTATTGAAAATTAACATTTATGAATTTTGAGGCACCGTGATACTAAAAGGGTCTCTGTTAAACTTTCACCTCCTTCAGATTCTGTATTGTATGCTGTACTATGCTAGCTTGGTTTACTGGAATCATGCCCTAGTATAAAGGCACCTTACTTTTTTGGCTGTTTCCCAGCTTACAGCTTATCTTCCTGACTTTTGACAATTTATTATGGAACATTTTAAAATAGAGCCTATTTTGTACTTGATTTTTTTTATGGGAGGGTTGTATAAAGTCCTAAAACACATGCACTTGGAAGACCAAATTGGCTTCTGCATTCTTAAAATGGATATTTAGAGCTCCATTTTCATTGGTATGTGCATGTAATATACTAGGAGTTAATGGCAGAATGACATGGTTGTCTTCTATGGGTTCATAGTATGATGCAGCAAGATGCTGATATAATTGTCATATGTAATAAGAAAGGTTAACAAGACAGGGCCCCAATCCATGCTGAATCACAAGAGCTTGCAACTAATCTCTGGCTACTGGTTCACACTGAGCATACCGCCTAAGCCAATTTCAATAATTGGCCTCATGAAAACACTGACATTCTTCTCAGTTACACTGGTTTTGTTTAATTGACTTCTGTAGTGAGACTTAAGATTGGCATATATGTAAAATGGAACAAAATTTGGCTAGCGTATCCAAAACATAGGAAGAGTCAGACTCAGATCTGGATTTCAAGACTCCAACATTAGGGGTATGTCTACACTGGCCCCTTTTCCGAAAGGGGCATGCTAATTTTACAGGTCATAATAGGGAAATCCGCGGGGGATTTAAATATCCCCCGCGGCATTTAAATAAAAATGTCCGCCGCTTTTTTCCGGCCTTTAGAAAAGCCGGAAAAGAGCGTCTACACTGGCCCCGATCCTCCGGAAAAAAGCCCTTTTCCGGAGGATCTCTTATTCCTACTTCAAAGTAGGAATAAGAGCCTCTGGAAAGGGGGGCTTTTTCCGGAGGATCGGGGCCAGTGTAGATGCTCTTTTCCGGCTTTTCTAAAAGCCGGAAAAAAGCGGCGGACATTTTTATTTAAATGCCGCGGGGGATATTTAAATCCCCCGCGGATTTCCCTATTACGACCTGTAAAATTAGCATGCCCCTTTCGGAAAAGGGGCCAGTGTAGACGTAGCCTAGGAGTGTTATGAATCCAGGGTTTTAGCCAGCTTGCAAATCTTAACAGAGTGACTACATCAACCTCCACTGCAGTCAATGAAAATATTTCCATTGAGTATAGTTGGCTACGTATCAGTTGATCCAAGCTCTCATTTTAGAAAACTCAAGATGCTGTAATACTACAAAATGCATCCAAGTGGTTAATATGCCTGTAAATGTGGGTTGTGATCTATAAGAAAATTGGGTCCAAGACCTGTCTGCAAAAGTTTTAGACCAGCATACCTTGATGTCAGTTATAAATCCCTAATATGAAATTATAATGGAACTACTGATCTATTATAATTGTAGTTACATGGACAGCTCAGCTAGAATATCTATTCCTGGAGCTGGTTGTAAAGTTCCTTCATGCACTGACGCATATTAAATTCTTGGCACAGAAGATGGTAGCAAGTAGATAATGGGATTGAATTTCTTCATTGTCATCACCATCTTGATGTGAAATCTACAATGACTGAATTATGAAGGCGAAACAACAGCAGCAACTTGTTATATCAAAGTATCTGAACAAGTTTTGCTCTGCAGCTAAGTAACTAGTATATGGTGCATAGTTGTAAAGCTTTGTAGTATGTCCTTCACTCAGTAGAGCCCTGCACAGATACAAAATTTGTATCCACCTCTGTAGTTGCAAAATTGAGCCATGGATATCTACAATGACATCCAGGGATCCAGATACACATGGCTATTAAGGGGATATCTGCAAATTTGCAGAGTTCTAAATACAAAATTTAGAAATCCATGTAAGCAAAAATGAACCACAGATACCCTTAGATATACACTGGATATCCTTGGATTACAGGGCCCTCTACTGATTGGGTTAAAGAAATTAAGGTTCCAGCTGAGAAACAATCTATTGAGTATAGTATAGCAGCACAAGACACTTTCCAAAAATTCCACATCAGCCCTGAAGTAAGCCATAGACATGTTCTCCTCTGTATTTCTGCTTCTTGCCTCTTTGCTCTAGTTGGCTCATTGTTTCATTGATCAAAGTTCACTGGTTATATGCTCTTCTGAGGTAAATTGGAGTAACTGAGGTGACAGCAGTCTAATTCAGCTGAGTACAACTTGGTCCAATATACACTGGAAGGCAAATCTGCCAGGAGGAGTTTAAGGTAAATCTCTAGGAGTATGTCTACACTGCATTCCTCTTTCGAGAGAGGAATGCAAATGCAGACAAATGAAATCGCAAATGAAGCGCGGATTTGAATTTCCCATGCTTCATTTGCATAATCACATCTGGCCACTATTTTGAAATACCCTATTTCAAAAAAAGAAACGCTGTCTTGACACGGTTATTTCAAAAGCAAACCCTTCTTTCGAAATAACCGTTACTCCTTATAAAATGAGGCTTAAGGGGTATTTCAAAAGAAGGATTTTCTTTCGAAATAACCGCATCTAGATAGCATTTCTTTTTTCAAAATAGGGTATTTCGAAATAGTGGCCAGATGTGATTATGCAAATGAAGCACGGGAAATTCACATCTGCACTTCGTTTGCAATTTTGTTTGTCTGCAGTTGCATTCCTCTCGTGGAAGAGGAATGCAGTGTAGACATACTCTATTACAAAGCAGTCATTTACTCCAGTGACTCAACTTTTTTTTGAAGATGAGCATTTGGTCAGGCCTAAATCCTGGGTCACAATGAGCTCCTTCAACCATTATTCATTTAAATGGGAGTTGGTGCTTTTAGCACATTGTTACTTTGTACAGATATCAACTTAATTCTACATATTTCAAATTTATATATTTATCTAAAACATTAAATTTTTTTTAGAAATAATGCTAAGGAACCTGCCAAGTTTTTGATAAACTATACTAATACTAGGTAGCTTCCTCGCCCCCCTCCAAAAAAGGGGTCTTATATGTAGGAGGCAGAGAATGTGGCTGGTGACCCTGAAAGCACCAATTTTGGACTTAACTTTTCATTGAGAAACCAAACAGATGTTTACCTAATAGAATCATTAATAGTTGAGGTCCTGCTTTCATTAACCAGGGCTTCTATACTAATAGTGTTTTACCATGGACTATGGCCAACTTTTAAAAAGTGACTAGTGATTTTGGGTATGCAAATACAAATGTGTTAAAGGCACCTACTTTCCAGAGGGTGTGTGCACAGTACCCACCTGAATCTTCAGGTGTTTCAAGTTGAGCACCCAACAATCACTAACTAGTTGCTTAGAAGTCTAGAACTTAGTTTTGCTGCCTATTACACCCTTTCCCTCACAAGGACAGAAAGGGTCACCGTGGCTTTTAAATTATTAGGGTTTTTCCTTGAATTAATTTCCCAATATTGTTGTAGTCTTTGTTTTCCAAGTTAGTGATTGGAACCTTTTTGTATTACTCCCTCTAATCTTTTACTAAAAATGTCACCAAGATTATCTGACTTGCATTACTAAAAAAATCTAATGAGAAAGTAGTGGGCTAACTTTATACTTCTAAATCCTGCAAATAAAAAAAATATAGTTACAGCCCAGTTGGGTATGCAGTCTTGAATTTGTGAAGATGTTTAAGAATTAAGAGTACAAATTACTTAGTGTGATGCATGTAATATCTTATGCATGAACAGTTTCTGCTTCTTTCCCACTGAAGGAGAAAAGAGCTCATAAGATTTAATTTGCAGGTATGATGCAAGTATGGTACACAAGTGATCAACAAATAGGTAAAAATGTTTTTGTTGCGCATTTTTCGCCCCATGACTGTATCATGCAAAAGCCATTCCTAGTGACACAGGACAATACAAACTATCCCAACGCCATAAAAGTTTTTAGGTGCCTATTTGCCTTAGAAGGTGCATATGTCTTCTAGACACCACTCACATTTTAAAAAACACTTCTCAGCTGCCACCTGACCCCCATAAATGTTAGGGATGAGAGAAGCCTACCCAGTTCTCCCCTGCTTCACCTTGCTGATAGCACCAGTTTCTCATCCTCCCATCACTCGGCATCCTCAGCTGTGAAACCCTATTTGAGAATTAAGCTGTTGACCTGGTTTAGGTGCTTGGGTAGCCCATGGCTGATGCCTCTCTCATGCTTACTCTTCATTTCCCTATGTACATGCAAGTACTGCACTGGTCTACCTCCACATTCAGCCTTTCTGCTGCAGCACTGAGGGATAATAGGTATTAGGAATGCTCACAGCATGCCTACAGGATCTGGCCTTACTGGTGAAAACTGCCTAGTTTGAGAACTCTGAATCGTTACCTCAAGGTCTTCAGCTTGCGGTAGAGCTCCAAAGAGCTTGGTAACAATGGGGCGGAATCAACAGTTACAAAGTTTTGTGAATACTGACCTGCGAAATCTTACGTGCCTAAGGGTATGTCTACACTACCACCCTAGTTTGAACTAGGGTGGTAGTGTAGACATACCCTTAGGCACGTAAGATTTCGCAGGTCAGTATTCACAAAACTTTGTAACTGTTGATTCCGCCCCATTGTTACCAAGCTCTTTGGAGCTCTACCGCAAGCTGAAGACCTTGAGGTAACGATTCAGAGTTCTCAAACTAGGCAGTTTTCACCAGTAAGGCCAGATCCTGTAGGCATGCTGTGAGCATTCCTAATACCTATTATCCCTCAGTGCTGCAGCAGAAAGGCTGAATGTGGAGGTAGACCAGTGCAGTACTTGCATGTACATAGGGAAATGAAGAGTAAGCATGAGAGAGGCATCAGCCATGGGCTACCCAAGCACCTAAACCAGGTCAACAGCTTAATTCTCAAATAGGGTTTCACAGCTGAGGATGCCGAGTGATGGGAGGATGAGAAACTGGTGCTATCAGCAAGGTGAAGCAGGGGAGAACTGGGTAGGCTTCTCTCATCCCTGCACTTCACAGCCAGATAGGTCACACAGCTCAGTTTGCTGGCTTCAAAAATAGTTTTCTTAGGCACCTAACTCTCCCTGCGCATTGTATGGGAAGCCTAAGAATTCACCAAGAATAGGCAAGCCATTTGTCTGATTTAAACCAAACAGTCCTTTCTAAAAACAGTTTGTCCTTTTTCCAGTACCAAGACAAAACTGGATGTGGTTT